GAGAAAGTTTCCTTCAACGTGAGCGGTCACATGAACGCCAGGAAACGCCTCAACGAGCACCTCACCGTACCTGAGTAATTCATACCGCCAAGAGCAGGGGCAGCCGGAAGGTGTCTGTTGTCAAACGGGCCCATGAAATTCTCTCCTTATAAAAAAGGGAGACAAGCAGGAAATTGAGGGCCACGAGAAAGCTGTCAGTGGACGCGTGGAGGAAAAGGTGGGGCAGATCTCACTCCCAAGCACAGGATGCTTTTCCAATACTGGACGTGGGTCGGGGTCTGACCCCCCCAGATTTTGTGGGGCATTTTTGAGAGTTGCATGTACGTTGACTGCCCCATTTTCTTCCTCCGTCCACGGAAACACCGAACGTCCCGGGATCTTTTCTGCCGCAACTAATGGTCTCATTGCAGAGGCTCCCGCCCACCCTCTCAGGGATAATGACCTTGAAGTCCAAGGATTATCGGTACTAGATTTCACCTGTACTAGATTTCACCTGTTTCTTCCAGCCAGCTTTCTGCCTCTTTGGCCAGATGTGGATCCGCAGGCATGAGTCGGTGTTAATACCGATAATCACTTTATGGGAAGACGCAGATCAAAGGGCTTTCCCTAAAGACCATCTTTTAAAAATAGAATAAAGAGGATCGCAGACACGACGCTATTTTACTTCCCTGGAAATACTTTTCTCCAGGCAGTCCAGAAAACACCAGGCTGGAGTTAGTTTCGAGGAAATTCTGAGACATTAAAAATAGCCGCGGTGGCTGGCGGCTCTGTGAGGAGTCTGGTAATTAAAGGCTTAGTCACGGTGGGTTCACGGCGCAGAAGCGAGTGGAAGAATATTAACCTCGTGGCAAGGTCGAGCACGCAGCCAAGGATGAGGGGAAAACAGGGACAAACTGCAACTCCTTTAAGCAAAAACAGGGCGGGCCCTGCGCATTCTCGGCACCAGTGTCGGCGGCTCCTTGTCCTGCAGGCCCTTCCCGGCACTTGCTGTATCTGGTCTCGTTGATGCGAGTCTTTGTCACAGGACGACGTGACATCTCACTGTGCTTTGAGTGGTCCAGCCCCTGTGGAAAGCAGCATGAGGGTTTCTCAAAAGACTAAAAATGGATCTGCCAGACGACCCAGCAATTCTGCTCCTAGGCATGGACCCAAACAACATAAAAAGAGGAATTCAAAAGGAAGCCCGCACACCTGCGTTTATTGCAGCCCGATTTACGACAATCAAGATAAGGAAACAACCTAAGTGCCCCAGGACAGGTGAGAGGATTGGGAAGACGTGGTCTGCGCACACAGCGGAATACTATGCAGCCATCAAAAATGACAACGGCTGTCATTTGCAGAAACATGGATGGAGCCGGAAAGGATGATGCTGAGGGAAATAAGCCAGAAGGAGAAAGATTAAAACCAGACGATGCCACATCCAAGTGGACTAGAGAGAAACGAGGCAAACACAGGCTTTAGAATCAGTGTTTGAAAGCTGAGCACGCGTCTGAGGCATCCAAACGGGTACCGGGAGGGAAGGGGTAAGAATGCGGGATGGCTCCGAGGGAGAGGTCAGTGGAGTATGGTGGACTCTGGGCGCGAACGTGGTGGGAGAACTCACCTGACAGGAGAATCCTGTGCCGTGGATGTAGAACAACATGGATAACTCAGCTCCCGGCTGAAGGGGATGGACGTCCAGCCGTCCTCAGCATTACCAAGCCAGAAGGAATCCCTGCTCCCCCAGCCTCCTGACGCCACCGAGGGCAAATACGATCCTTGTTGAGACTCTCAGAGGCCCCACCCGAGGGCGCTCCGTGACCGGCTGCCCCCAGGCTTCGGGCAGTAACTGGCTAGTTCACTTCTGACCAGCTGAGGATGCAGTGAGTGATCTCTGCACCCGTGGGTGTCCCGGGCTGTCTCCACCATCATAGGTGGCTCAAGCTGCTGCCTCCCTGCTCCCCGGGGACCCCCCACTCAGATCATCTCGCCATCCCCAACAGTGCGCCCCAAACAATATGCATTAGTCGGGAGCCAGCAAGATGGCCAAACCCCAGGCCCACTGGATTCCTGGGCTTGGAGATGGCCCCAAACATCAAGGGACCCTGGAAACCCTGCACCGTGGCCGCCATCTCCTCTCCACATGTCCTGCTTTCGAGGGGCTGCACCA